GGACACAAGTCCACTGTCTGACAGGACAAGAATGGACACAAGTCCACTGTCTGACAGGACAAGAATGGACACAAGTCCACTGTCTGAGGCCATATGAACATCATCAGAGCAGTGCTGATTCATTGAGTGGGTTTTCTTCTTGTGTTCTGTTGATCCCTGCAGGTGGATCAAGTTTGAAGAAAAGGTGGAAAAAGGAGGTGAACGYTGGAGTAAACCTCACGTGGCAACGCTGTCGTTACACAGCCTGTTTGAACTGAGGACATGCATAGAAAAAGGCACCATTATGCTGGACATGGAAGCTTCAACTCTGCCACAAGTTGTTGGTAAGTTAGCTCTGAATGTTAGTTTAGAATATTCTCAATAGAAAACAACTAAACAGAATCAAAACAAAATAGCTAGATCTGGTTGTAATGGAAATCATACTTTTGTATTTACATACTTTAATGACCAAGTTTGTCATGACACCCTGTTCATCAGCGATTATAGCCAGAACAAGATCTGCTAGCAACAATCACTCTTTGATATCACTTGTGTTTATCTTTGTGTTTACCTTGACCCAGAAGGAAATCAGTTCAAACATATGTCATTATGTTTGCAGTGTAGCCTAGATTTTAGCTTTGATAATCACATTTTCAAACTTACCATTCACACCGTGTCATGGCCCTGAACACATCATGTGATCAATGAGTCATATTTATTGCATTTTGTACTTTTTAAAAGTGTACACACAAAATATAACAGACACTTCAATAAAACACCTCTGAGAACCCTGATGACACATTATGAGACAGAACAGGTAAAAGTCAGGACATCAGGATAAGTCAGAATATTGTTTATGGAAACTTGATATTTATGAGAAAAAAGGGTTTCCAGTTTAGAACTTAGTGGGGACCTATTGGTGACCCCATTGGTGACCTTATTAAGGAAGTTCTGACCATTGACCACCAGCCACAACTCAGATAGATTTATCAGAGAAATTAAAGCAGAATCATTTAGATTATAATATTTTGTAGTGRGTCATATCAAAGGTCAAATCTAAGAATCTGGTGCCCACGTCTTCTATTTTGTTCAGAAATCCTGAATGTTTTCTAGGAAAAGCAGTGGTTCTGATTCTGAGCGCTGATGAGTGCAGAACCCAAAGTGCATGGAATGCAGGCTGTCCTGATTAATGATAGTGTACAATCCATGAGTTCAGAATCATTCCAACACTTCTTTACTTTGCTCTGGTTTTCAGAGCAYTTAACAGTCACAAGTCAACTTTACATTGGATCACTGGACCTACAAATCATTTGTAAATGGCCACACAAAGACTTCCTGATTCAAGGACAGCTAACTGTCTCCAGTTGTATCTCTATGCCCTCCCATGTCATGCACCCCCCCCCCCCCCCCCCCCCCCCCCCCCGGATTTGCCTGACTCTGGTCTTGACTCAGTTTGATTAATATGAAGTAATTGACTGTGCTGCCTGGACCGCTCAGGCCGAGAGGAGCTGGTTCTGGGTTTTAGAGAACTCCCTGAGGCTGCTTTCTGTCGCCATTCAGGCTTCTGACCTTCTTTTTAAAGATAGTGGTTTGACTGACCTGTTTCATGAAGACTCTTCCAGAGGCACATTAAAGTCTTGGATGCACTAATTGAGTTCTGATGAGGATGAAGGAACTTTTATCAGTCATTTACTTGTTTGCTTTGGCTGTGCTCTTAAATCCAGGGCAATGAAATGAAAAGTTTCAAACAACCCATGCAATAAACTTAGCTAAAATGTTCAAGGTTCTGATCAATAATCTAATGTTTACATGAAGAATATACATATCAAAAGTAGAACTGTGGGGCAGACATTAACTAAAACACATCCATGTAGCTCTGATTTCATTCAAATCTTTTCCTGAATTTACTGCCGTCTCCTTTCTGTGTGTCTTCAGAGATGATCACTGACAACCAGATTGAGATTGGCCAGCTGAAAGCTGACCTGAAGGACAAGGTGATGTTCACCCTGCTACGGAAACATCGCCATCAGACCAAGAAGTCCAACCTTCGCTCCCTGGCTGACATCGGCAAAACGGTCTCCAGTGCAAGTAGGCTGTTTTCCAACCAGGACAACGGTAACACCTGAGCCAGTTTGGTGCAGTCTTTTCTACTTTTCATCCAACCAAATCAAAAAGGATCAACTTGGTGCTGAGATGAACAATGAGTTCTGAGGGCAGAGAAACACTGCCACCACCTTCTACTAGAACTCTCCAAGAACCCTAACTGAACCTAACCAAACCCAACCCAACCAAACCAAACCCAACACAACCTAACCAAACCCAACACAACCTAACCAAACCCAACACAACCTAACCAAACCCAA